CCCCCCCGGGGGCCGCCGGTGCCCACTCGGCATCCACACGTACACACGGCACTGAGCGCAGCGAGTCGCACACGGATCCACAAACACGGCCGTCACCCACCCCTACGCCATCGGGTATGCAAACTCGGAAATCCACTCCACACTCCCAGACACACAAACTGACAGCCCAGCCGCCTCCATCCCTCACTCATCCGGACACACACGCTCACCACGCCCACAGACGATCCATTCCAGTGAGCAAATATTTATGGAGCACCTGCTTCTTATTTAATTAGCACTCTCTCGCCCAGATGGCCGAGCCGTGCCTGCACCAGAAATCACACACCCGACAACCTGCATCTGTCCCCCTGCATGCTCGGCCTCTTTCAGCATCCACCCGAGGTTAGACCTGGCTGTCCCCCTGGGCTGCCTCTGCTGGGGCCGCTGCTGAGCTCTGGCACCCCAGCCTTTCCCCAGGTTCTTGTGTTTCGTGGAGCCAGAATCCCAGAACTCCGTTTAAAACTAGTGGGTCTGTGTCACTGCCTCCCCCAGGCTCTGGCCCAAGGAGTTAAGGTCCTCCATTCACCCATTCTAAGTCCATGCCCCCCCCCGCCCTGCCAGGGAACCAGCCAGTAGTATTCCCCCTCCCACCCGGCTTGGTGGGGCAGCTGCCCTCACTCCAAGAACCCACAGCCCCCTCCCTCCTAGCTCTGGCCTCACCTGCCTCCGGCTATCGGCTCCAACTGGACGTTCCTGCCCTCTGCCCAGAGACCCCTGTGGGCTACCGGGCAGGGTGGCTCGGCTGTGGCCAAGTTTCACATCCCTTCCCAGTTCCTCTTCTCTTTCTGCAGACCTGCCCCCAAACTTCCCCAGGGGCCAGAGGCTCACCAGGGACATTTCCAGCAGACCTCAGCAAGACGAGGACATGGGGAGTCCAACCCTAGCCACAGCTGAAGTGGGGGCAGGGCGGCGAGGCCAGTCTTTGATGATGGGGCAGTGGAGGGGATAGCGAATCTTTTCAAAATCACCCTGCTCGAAGGACCATTTCAGGGTATGAAAGCCACGCGTGTTCATTGCCAAAAGCTTGGAAAATACAAAGAATGAACAGTGCCTTGGTGAGGATGGGAGAGCGCAGAAGTTTCTAGATTTGCCACTTCCTAGTGGCAGAGAAATGACTTAGTCTCCTTTTCCCCCTTTTCTTTTCTTTTTTTTTTTTTTGAGAGGTTTTTGCTATAGGGCACATGCGCTCGCCAGACAGACAGAGAGAGACATAGAGACAGAAAGCGAGAAATCACCCCCCAGGGGGGGATGGTCATGCCGCAATCCCTTCTCCTCCATTCTCCTCTCGGGATCTTGGGCACGCATGCACACGCCCCCGGCATGAGTTTTAAGCCACCGGGTCCAGGACGTGAACCGCGGTCGACTACGTGGGAGTCCAGCGACATAGCCATTACGCTAACTGCTGGTTCCCCTCTTTCTTTTTTTTTTTAAAGAGAGATTTTTACTATAGGGTTCATGAGCTTTCCAGACAGACTCAGAGAGACAGAGAGACAGAAAGTGAGAAATCACCCCCCCCCCATCCCCAAAGGGAATGGCCACACCACAATCCTCCCTCCATTCTCCTCTCAGGATCTTGGGCATGCACGCACACATGCCTGGCGTGAGTTTTAAGTTACTGGGTCTGGGCTTAAACTGTGATCCACATTTAATCCAGGAGAGGGGGAGTCCAGGGACATAACCACCACACTGTTTGGTCCCAGAGAAGTGACTTAACTTCTTAACTTCTTGGGCTAATCTCAGTTTTCTTCTTTTTTTTTTTTTTTTTTTTTTTTTGCCATAGGGTGTGCGTGCTCGCCAGAGAGAGAGACAGTGAAAGGGAAAATGAGAAATCACCCCCCAGGGAGCCATGATGCAATCTCTTGTCCTTCGTTCTCCTGGGATTTTGGACGCGCATGCACACGCGGCCCAGCATGATTTTCAAACCGCCAGATTGGGTTTTGAACAAGGTCGACCATGTGGGAGTCAGCAGCTTAACCACTTCGCCACCTGCTGGCCTAGACTATGATAACATTTTAATGACACACTTGGCACAAGGTGAACGGAATCATTCACTTATATCAACACTTGGAAAAATAGCAACAACAGCCCCTGACTTCTACCATCAAGAGAGAGTTGCTGTTCATGTTCTAATGGATTCTCTAGCCTTGCTTGTCCTTGCCGATGGGGAACTCACTACGCCAACGTGGCCCACACCGTCGTCAGAATGCTTTGCATCAGATCAAGCTCCTCTGACTCCTCCCCAGCCCCAACTGTTTGGGCCGAGGCTGGCCTTCCCTCTTCTTCTTCCTGAAAATTTTGCCAGAGGAAGGAGGAGAACAGGAGGAGGGGAGAGAAGAGGGAAAGATGTCTTGCTCACGTTCAGGAGCCCCTCCTTTGCAATCTCATGGCGTCTGACACACATCAAACACAAACGGAGGTGTCTTGGTGCAAGGATGGGGGCCCAGAGCTCCTCCCAGGAGGTTAGTGGAGCCGCATCTCACTGGCTCAGCCGATTTACAAGTCCCCCAGGGATCTTGAGCATGGCCTCGCTTCTCTGGACCTGCTTCTTTACCTGGAAGATGGGGTAACATGGGGCCAGCAGGTGGCATGGTGGTTAAGGTGCTCGACTCCCACATGACCTTAGTCTGAGTCCCAGACCCCGCAGCTGAAAAATCACACTGGGCACAGGTGCATGCATGCCCAGGATCTCGAGAGGGGAATGAAGGAGAAGGGATTGCAGCGTGGCCGTTCCCCAAGGGGGTGCTTTCTCCCTCTCCCTCTCTCTGTCTCTGTCTCTCTTTGGCAAGCCACATGATCTATAGAAAAAAAAATTACGAGAAAGTTCATAGCATCTAACAGCACATTAAATTATCCCCGTGGGGGCCAGCAGGTGGCGTGGTGTTGAGGAGCTGGACCCCAACACGGCCAACCTGGACTTGAGTCCCTGACCTGGGGGCTTGCTTTCTTACTTTCTGCCTCTCTTTCTCTCTGTCTGGTGAGCTCACATGCCTCATAGCAAATTAGAAAAAATAATAATAGTAAATAAAGTTAGTGTTTTTTTTTTTAATTATCACTATAAATAAGGAGTTCTTCAAAAAGTTCAAAGAGGACAGAAAGGCAGAGGGACAGGAAGATTATTTCAGAGGTATCAAAATTCTGCCATCTTCCGGCTTAGGGGAGCAGGAGTTAGAAGCAAGGCACATGGGGTCAGAAGGTCAGCCTGACAGTCCCCGTGTTCTGGATGAAAAGCTGAGGACCGGGAACAGAAAGACTGGCCCCAGGTCACCCAGAGGAGCAGAGTGGGTGTGAGGAAAAGTGAGAGGCCATGAGCTTCTCAGAGTCTGAATGCACAATTCTTATAGAAATATAGTGAGAACGGGGCGATTTTTGTTTTGTAGCTTGTTGATGAAGAAATGAGCGAGACGTTCAAACTAGGACGGCCACCCTATATCCTTCAATAAGGACCTAAAAACACCACAGAGACCTAAACAAGGAGTTTCCAGAAATTTCATGGAAAAGGCATATTGTGTTTTGGTTTTTAGTTTTTTGCCATGGGGCACATACGCTCACCAGAGAGCGACAGAACCCGTGTGGGGGAAAGGTGAGAAATCACCCCCCAGGGGGGATGGCCACGCTGCAATCCCTTCTCCTCCATTCTCCTCTCAGGATCTTGGGCACGCACGCACATGCGCCTGGTGTGTTTTTAAGCTGCTAGGTCTGGCACTCAAGCCACGGTCGGCCACGTGGGAGTCCAGTATCTTAACTATCACGCCACCTGCTGACCCTGAAAATTCATATCATGAAAATCTATTATAGAATGGGACCAGCAGTTAGCGTAATGGCTATGTCGCTGGACTCCCACATAGTCGACCGCGGTTCGAGTCCCAGACCAGGTGGCTTAAACTCACGCCGGGCGCGTGTGCGTGCGTGCCCAAGATCCCGAGAGGAGAATGGAGGAGAAGGGATTGCAGCGTGGCCATCCCCCCTGCGGGGTGATTTCTCGCTTTCTGTCTCTCTGTCTCTCTCGCGAGTGCACGCGCCCTATAGCGAAAACCTCTTCCCCCCAAAAAAATCTATTACAGATTGTGAATTTCACATTCTTTTTGCACCAAAGTAAGTTGATGCTTTAATGCTACTTTTCCACAAAACTTTTCAAAGTGCTCTCAGGGAGGGAGCGAGGTAAAGAGCAGTAAAGGCAGAAACGACACCAAGGATTCTGGAACACTCCCAAGATGAGTTACACACAGAGCTGGTGAGCGTTCTATGGGACAATGCAAGCGTAATGTCGGCGTCATCTTTTCTACTGGGGAGAGAGCATCGGCATCCCTGCCAGATGAAAATCATTTGCAACTTGCCTAGCAGTCAGCAGCCATCTTTACAGAGTCCAGGCCTGATCACTAGGAACTCATCAGCCAGGGGAGTGCCATTCCTCTGGCCTGTCAGACCCTTAGGAGGGCTCCTCGGTTCTCACTTGACTTTGAAAGGACACCGGATTTCCAAGTGTTGTCTGATTTTACTTATCAGGCTTTTGCAAGAGTATAAACACTTCCCAGGAAATAAAAGGCATCAATACGAACGCACAGGAAGTGGGTCAGCCATGGCCCTGTGACTGCCACAACAGAGACGCCCTCAGTCAGCCAGGGTAGGAAGGGTATGTTCTCAGAGGGGGTGGTGGGAGGGGTAGAGAGCAGAGGAACCCCTAGCCAGGCTGACAGAGTCGTCCATGATGTTCAGTCTCAGAGTACAGAGACTTAGAAATAACACCCCCCTTTCTTTTGCCAAAAGGCATGCATACTCACCAGACAGAGAGAGAGAAGGGGAAGAAGAAGGAAAAAGAGCCCCTCAATGGGATGCAATCCTGCTACGGCCACCCCTGCTCCATTTTTGCATTGCATTGGGGTTTGGACCGCACATACAGGGGCCCTGGAGCCATCTGGGAGTCAACTCCTTCAACCACTAAGCTATGAGGTTGGCCCCAACCCCCATTTTTATTTATTTATTTATTTATTTATTTATTTATTTATTTATTTATTTTACTACAGGGCGTGTGCACTCGCTGGAGAGACAGAGAGAGAGAGAGAGAGAGAGAAAGAGGAAGTAAAAAATCACCCCCCACCCCTGGAGGGGATGGCCACACTGCAATCCCTTCTCCATTCTCCTCTCAGGATTTCGAGCATGCACACATGCATGTCCAGCATGAGTTTCAAGCTGCCAGGTCTGGGACTCATACCAGAGTAGGCCATGTGGGAGCCCAGTGTATTACCCACTATGCCACCTGCTGTCACCCCGGTTTTTTAATTACTCAAATTCTTTATGATAGAGTCATATCTCATTCAAGAATTGGCCCATAAAGGCATGTAGTAGGCGAACATGGTAACTGGCCAACATGACTCGGAATGTCAGGAGAGTGGCATGCTGGCGGTCACACTGTCACCTCACCAGAGCCCTGCGCTGACACTTCGGGCTTTGATGTTAGATTTCTTGCTCTTCAGTTGAGTGCCAGTTGGCTGCTGTCAACCACACATCCCTCCTGACCCCCGGCCCCAACCCCTCTCCACACACACACAAAGGAATTGAACCTTCCGAGATTAGAGTCCCTTCGTAGGCGTAGGCGAGCCTCCTGGGAGCTGAGGCAGACTTGGGGACAACAGCCATGCTCCCGCTAGGAGTGGGCTCTTCATGTGCCCAGAAGGGCCAGCAATAATCCCTGCTTTGCTTAGACTGCTATTCGAGTTCTTTCTCTCTGGATCTTATTTGGAGAGGTATGCATAGTCTGAAGCGAATATACTGTGACTCTGAGGTTCTGGTAGGTCTTCTTTTTCCACT